CAGTGTTGGAGCATTCACAACTTCTAGGGGCAAGTTGTTCCACTGGTTAATTGTTCTCACTGTCACGAAGTTGCTCCTTAATTTCAGGTTGCTTCTCTCCTTGACTAGTCTCCATCTGTTGTGTCCAGTCCTGCCCTCTGGTGCTTTGGAAAATAGCTTGACCCCCTTCCTCTCTGTGGTAGGCCCTCAAATATTGGAAGACTGCTATCATGTCATCCCTAGTTCTTCTTTTCTCTAGACTAGCCAAACCCAAATCCTGCAGCCGTTCTTCATATGTTTTAGTCTCCAGGCCCTTAATCATCTTAATTGCTCTTCTTTGCACTTTTTCCAAAGTCTCAACATTTTTTTTTTTTTGTAATGTGGTGACCAAAACTGGATGCAGTATTCCAGGTGTGGCCTTACTAAGGTTATGATGGATCTCTTAAAACAGAGTCTAAAATCTCTTAAAATCTCTCTAGATGTTTTGACCAGGTAGGAAGTATAGTTTTGGTAAAGTGGGGTCTGATGTTTTTCAGACTTATTTTTTATAGTGACATTCTTCCTCCCCTTCACCTCCAGTTCAGCACTTTCAAATTTATTGCTTTTTTTTTTTAATGGCCAGCCTACATTTGAACCTTTTCGAGCACAGAAAAGGTTTAGTGTGTGACCCTCGCTCCGAAAAAGTTTGTGCACCGACTCATGTAAAATATTTATTTATTAGCCTGATCAATCAATTGTGATAATAAATACATTAATGGAATTAATCAATCACTCTAATTAACAGAAATGTCAACCAAGGGGCAAAATATGTGACTTGGTTCACTGGGCAGGAAAGAGGATTATATATAGGACATTAAACTTGCTTCACTTTATCACATTTTTTTATTGAAAAGCAAGCTAGAATGCTTACAAATGTGTCTTGTAAATGCATAATTTAAAAAACTGAAATAAACATAAGCATATAAATTGCTTCTACCTTAAGTAATGAGTATTAAAGTTTGGGCAATCATACTGACTCAGGATTAAAATTAGTGATAAGTTTTCCACATGAGAAAAAATATCCTGATAGTTGTTTTGAAATCTTCTGGTTGATCTTGGACAATTTCAACAAATTCTAGCATCCATCATGGTTTGTGCTTGGATGGGGCATATCAGCAAGAAACCCCTAAGACGTGGGCTAGACTGAACATCACTAATGATGTTACCAACCTGGGTAATGAAATGTCTACAATAAAACCACCAAGTTCGAATGTCTACAGAGATTCTTAGTCATCCAGGTCGTGGTTGTCCCAAAGATCCTTTTCTTAAAGAAACACCTGGACTTTTTTTGTTTTTCTTTGAAGATGTTTTGCTTCTCATCCAAGAGTCTCCTTCAGTTCTGAATGAATGGTGAAGGATGGAAGGATTTACACTCCTTGCAGACAGAGCTGGTCATTTGCATGCTTTTAGAGTCATTGAGGCCACTTGGAGGTTTGTCTGTGTCCTCAGGGTCTCTTGAGTGGTGCAAATGGATGTGGAGCTTTCTTGGAACGGCTGAGAGGACAAGAGATGGATGATGTTGTATTTAGACAGGGTTGTTCTGGGAAATGGAAGGATTTATATTCTGGACAGAAAGGACCGCTGGTTTGAAAGACAGGCCATCTTTGTTAAAATTGAACAGCCCTCTCTCAACAGAAGGGGAGGCATAAGATATCATCTATCTCCAGTCTATAATATAGTCCTTTCCGCAGTTCCAAGAAGGCTCCACACCCATTTGCACCACTCAGGTGACCCTGAGGGCAGATATAAACTTCCAGGTAGCCTCAATGACTCTCTAAAAAGGATACAAATGACCAACTGTCTGCAAGGAGTATAAATCCCTCCATTTCCCACCATCCAGTCAGAGCTGAAGAAGCTTCTTGGATGAGAAGCAAAACGTCTTCAAAGAAAAACCAGAAAGTCCAGTGGCTTCTTGAAAAAAAAAAAAGCACTTTTGGAAACAAACATGACCTGGATGACTGAGTATCTCCACAGACACTGAGATTTCTAGCTTTCATCAGTTCCCCAAAAGGAACATGGACAGAAAAAAAGAATTTACCCCACAGTTATAACCTCTCCCAAGTCCCAAGCCGGTGGACGAGATTGTGTCGCTGAAAACAGCAACGTTATGATACGAAGCCCGGGAGAACCATTTGGCTTTATAGATCGCCCGTTGCTCAGAAGACATTTTTTTTTCACACTTGGAAAAAGAAAAAGAAAAAGAAAAAAACAGAGCACAGAAGGAGAATGTGGTGTGTAAGTAAGTAGGGGAAAAATGGGCTTGAGAACAATTTCAGAAGCCGATTAAAAATTAAAAAGGAAGGGGAAGGAGGAGGTGTCTCAAAAGGCAAACCAGAGCCAATAATTATAATGAAAAAAGAAAACCTTAAGATGCGACATTTCCTCTCCTTCCAACGTGCAAGATACAAATGCATTGGAAAGCCGGTACCTATTTTATCTCATGTTGTGGTGTCATTACAATAAAATGTCCCCCTGCACCAGTTAAATAACACAATAAAAGTGGCCAGAGAGAACACTCGGTACACGGAACCTGGTTATTAACTGAGGAAAATATACCAAGCCAATTAAAGAACATTTTCCCCATTACTATTACATGCTACAGAATGTGTATTGGCAAAAGAGCTTTGAGATAAACACTGAAATTATTCACATTGTGTTAGTTCGTACCTGCAAAAGATGCTATGGTGTAAGTAATCTGTTGCCTACCGCTATAGATTAATTTTCAATTGCACAGGTAGTCCTCGATTTACGACACTTGATACCAGAATTTCTATGTCAAAACTCTGAAGCTGGCCTGACTGAGGCCATCTTTGGGGCTTCAGTGTTGCCCCAATGGAGATGAGGGTTAGGGAGGGGGGAATAGAGATAGCTGCGGGGGGAGGGAATGTGTAGCCAAAACAAAATATTTTCCCCTGAGAACCAAGGACATTCCCACAGGTGGCTGGAGAAAGGAAGAGAGAAGTTACCAAGCAACCAGACAGAGCTTTTGTCATACCCGTTGGAGTCTGACTCCGAGGGAGAGGAAGTGGAAGTGTGACTCCGGAGGTTGTGGAGGAGGCTGGGGAAGGCAGAGACCATCTGGGCAGTCAGAGGAAGACCCAGGCCCATTCCCTCTCCATCCTAGGGCATGCAGGGAGGAGAGGATAAGAGAGAAATGTGAATGGCGTGGTCTTAGGGGGTAAGAAAGGGCCCTGATCCCCTTCATGGGCTGCAGCTGTGAGGACTGTTTAAAAGGACAAACTGTGCGTGGTCCAGTGCTGGAAGCAAAGCGTGAAATAATTCTAGTCTTTCAGTTCTTATCTGAGTTCTGGCATCCTTCCCAGTGTGGGTATTTCGATATCTGTGGATGTCTTCAAGCCCTTATCCTTCCTTGTCTCATTAATTGCTTCAGTGTGCTTTGTGTTGTTGTTTTTTCTATTTATAATTTATATGTATTTTGAGTTTGAATGGCATTTCTTCCTTTTCGCAACTGTTTGTGGGGGAGTTTTTTCTCCAGTCAATGATAATTGAAGCTTTGAAACCAAGTTGAAGGAATTAAAGGGGACTTCACCGGTTTTTGTGACTTTGTTGCTTTTGTATCCCACCCTGGGTCACTACAGCTTTGAATGGAGCGCGTGACTGATTGTTTGAGAAAAGGGGAGAAAATGTTTACTTTTAACTAGGTGAAAACCATGGGAATAGTTAGTGTCGGTTTTTCACCAGTCTGTGCCAATATTATATAGCCAATAAAACTGTTCTTTAAGGAATCTACCTGCCTCAGAGTTCTGTTTGCTACGGGTATGTTACTTGGAACCCTGACATTCTGCCGCTAAGCAAGATGTTCAGTGAGTTATGCCTGATTTTACCTGTTTTGCCACAGTTCAGAAAATCACTGCAGTTGTTAAGGGAATCATGTGGTCATTAAGTGAAGTTGGCTTCCCCCATTGATTTCGCTTGTTGGAAGCTGGCTGGGAAGTTCGTAAACAACCCAAATTTGGATGACATGACCTGAAACAGTGGTAAGTGCGAGGATCAGTTAGTTGTAAGTCCCTTTTTTTTCAGTGCCATTGTTACTTCAAACAATTGCTAAATGGATGGTTGTAAGTTGAGCACAGCCTGCAGTTGGCTTGATTCTTTTCTGTAAGAGTTAAGTGGCATCTGAAAGTCCACCCTCACGTAACCCAATTTCGAAATATTAGCCTAAGTGTTATGTTCAGAAGGTCGGGCTCATAAAGACGAGAGACTTCAGTTCAGTAACAACAGCTCTTTATTTATCGGCCGGAACAAGACAAGTGAATAGCAGCCGCGGCGGCTCTTTTATAGTTTGCCGTGGCTTGGCGGCCAATGACTCTGCTTCAAGTCTCCCGCGCTTGGTTTTAACCAATCGCGGCAGACTCTTAGCGAGCCAATCATAACTACCTAGGCTGTCCAATCAGGTAGCGATTGAAACGGACCAATGGGAATGCAGGTTTTCAAGTCTGCGAATATGGAACACTAAGAGTTAAGACATCCTAGATTTAGCGTCAATCATATCAAGCTGAAGCGTGGCGCGCCGGCCTAAAGGTCGAGCTCTCGCTTCACAATCAGGAGGCTGTGAGTTCGATCCTGGATAGAGGCAGATATTTCTCTCTCTGGGCACACCGAGAATATATCTGCTGAGTAAAAGTCCGCATTGGCGATAGGAAGGGCATCCGGTCAATAAACACCCAGCTCCATTCAGTTCCCCAGACTTCACCCGGCATTATGGGATCATTAAAAGAACTTGATATCAAGCTGAAGTGGGTCTATCTGGAACAGAAAGGCTAGAAATAAATCTTTAAATAGATTTTTATATTTAAGGCTGTGGAGAGCAGAAGAACGAAGCCGAAGAAGCTTAAATAAGAACTTAAGTTCGTACCAAAATCATTTTATTAGATTTGGCCTATACAGTCAAACATACATTATGTTGTTGTATGGAAAGTGAAAACTTTCAGTCTTTTCCCATCAGGCATTTGAAGTCCGACGGTCCAACTCAAGTTTTAGAAATAACACCAAATTTCCATTCCAAGTTCATAAGCTTTGGCCACACGTATCTCTCCATAGTTGTGTTCTTCTAGCGGGACCACATTAATAAGTGCACATATGTCCTTCAAAAAACATCGGACATTTATTTTCTTCTTGTCATTGTGGTTCTGGGCAGCATGGGCCTTTTTTTTTTTTTTTTCAAAACTGTGTCTGATAGCCCAGAGTGAGGAACATACACCTTTGCCCTAGATTAGAATGGCAATTCTGGATAAATTCACTATCCATGGTAGAAAAATTGCATCCTTGTAGGATGTTATCTTGAGCAGTTTCAGGAAGCAGCTGGATTATTTTTTTTGCTTTCAGAAGTGATGAGGTCTCATTTTCTCCAGTACTGAATGAGGGAAAGAGAAAGAAAACATTAAGGAACTTTTTTTTTTTTAAAAAAAATAATCTCTATTATATATATATATTTACTGTCATCTATGGGGTTTATGCAGGAGTGCCCTGGGCTAACTAGGAACAGTCTCAATGCTTTCAAACTTCAGGAACTTCTGAACGTTGGAGGTTTTTAAAAAAGAGGTCGAATAACCATTTGCCTGAAATGGTAAAGGGTTTCCTGCTTGAGGAGGGGGACAGACTAGAAGACCTCCAAGGTCCCTTCTGACTTTGTTATTATAATTGTAGAATCTTAGGGTTGGAAGGGATTTTGGAGGTTTTCTAGTCTAACCCCCTTGCCTGGACAAATGGTAGTTCAATCTCTTCTTGAAAACCTCTGGTGTTGAAGCACTCACAACTTTGAGAGGCAAGCTGTTCTATTGATTAATTGTTATATGTGGAGATAACATATGTATTGCAAATTACACGTGAGATAATGAAGAACAAAAGAGACTCCATCTTTGTTCAAGATGGGACCTTCTAGAATGATTACTGGACAATTATATAACTATTTAACAAACAAAAAAAATGTTTTGTAATTTGTTATGTTGTTATGTTATAAAGTAAATGTCAGGTTTTTGGCTGGAACATGGGGGTTGTATATCTTGGCTTAAAGATATGAGAAGGAGATGCTAGCTCATTCTGACCTGAATGGAACTGATTAATGATCCATTGTTTTCTGAAGAACATAACAGGAAGATGCCATGAGAACAAGGGTGGTTTCCAAAGATAAGGAAACAGGTGGTATACTATGGGTATGGCGTAGGGAATTACATAGTTGGATAGGTTGTGAATCCAGGAAAGGGGCAGAGACTGTATATTTGAACTTGTATATATAAACCCCAGCCTTCCTGGGGAAAATGTCTTCTGTTATGAACAGAATTCCCTTTTGCAAAAGCTTAATAATAAAGCTCTTTCATATAGTTCACGTGCCTCCAGCTGTATTTGGTGATTATTCTCACATCAATCATTCTCACTGTGAGGAAATTCCTCTTGATGTCACGTTCGCCATCTTTGGCCTGGTGCCTCACTGGCATCCTGCCATCAAATGCTAGGGGGGAGGGGGCATGGGTGGATGAACAAATGGGCAATAAAAATGGGGAAGGGGAGAAATAACAGCTTGACGAAGAACAGAGAAGGTCAGGACCAGTTTGTGCCAGCACTCAAGGCCATGTACCCTGAGGAACATCTCAGCATTCTCAAAACACCTAGGTGAATCTTCATTGGGGGAGGGGAAATGTTTTGTATCTTTTAAGTGTGGGAAATTTAGTTCTAGCCTGACTTCACTGCAGCCCGAATCTTTTAGTAAAAGAACCTATCACTTCAACCAAATGGAGTTGAGGGTCTTTCTCTCCTAAGGGATCGGAATGGGGCAGGACTGACACTGTAGTTCCAGATTGGATTTCCCTCTGAGGAATTTTCACCCATTGCTTCTTGCCCTGTCTTCAGGTGCTTTGGAGAATATTTGACCCCCTTGTCTTTGTGGCAGCCTTCAAATATTGGAAGACTGCTAATACGTCCCCTTTCGTCCTTCTTTTTTCTAAACTAGCCAAATCAAAATCCTTCAATTGTGGAAGGATATATGTTTTAGGACATATGTTTTAGTCTCCAGGCCTTTGATCATCTTAGTTGCTGAACTTTTTCTAAAGTCTCAACACCTTTTTGTTGTATGGCGACCAAAACTGGATGCAGTATTCCAGGTGTGACCTTACTAGGGTTTTATAAAATGGTATTAATATTTCACGTTATTTTGATTTTATGCCCCTGTTTATACAACCCAGGGTTGTATTAGCATTTTTGGCTGCTGCCGCATATTGCTGGCTCATATTCAAGTGATTATCAACTAGGACTCCAAGGTCCTTCCCACAGTTACTATTTTTGAGCCAAGTCTTGCCTAATCTGTACTTATTCCTTTGGTTTTTCCTGCCTAAATGTAAAACTTTGCTTTCATCCACATTAAAATTCATTTTGTTAGATAGGGCCCATGATTCAAGCTGTAAAGATCTTTTTGGATCCTGAACTTCTGGGGTGTTGGCTATTCCTGCCAGCTTACTGTCATCTGCAAATTTGATGAGTTCCCCATCTATTCCCTCATCTAAGATGTGCAAGGATGATGTTTCCTAGTTGGGTAATGAAATATCTGCAAGAAAGCAACCAAACTCAGAGAGATTCAAGGACCCAACAGTTCAACCCTGAATTACATCTTCTATTGATACCCAGTTGATGATGGTTGAGAATGAAGCTTAATTTTCCTAATCATTTCTCTGTCAGCATTCCAACTAACTCCAAACCAATAAACTGCGAGACAATCGATTCCTCAAAGTTCCATTTTATTAGAGTTGTCATATTGGCACATCTGGAAAAACCCGAATCTGAGAGTTTCAGGTTTTCCCTTCCCAAAAGAGAAATCAAAGATCCATCCCCTGCACTCACCAGTCCATCACATGGCCCTATCAAGTCTTCGTCCCAACTGGAGACCTCCTCTCCAAGTGCAGGGCAACATGTCCTTGACTCTCTGAGAAAGAATGTTGTTGTGTCTGGTCTACCCCACTATGAAATCCCCTCTCCCAAATTCCCAGGCACTGAATGTGGCAGCCTCGGAGCTTCCACATAAAAAGTGGCTTCCAAGGCTGACGTTCTTAGCTTTGGATTGACACCTGTCCTCCATGAAAAGGTACGGCATTATCAAATAGCACAACCTGTGTTCCTTCAAGCCTTATGAGACTATATTTAGTTTCTTTCTCTGTATTATATCTGGCAAGCTTTATTAGTCTGACAGTGGAGGGAAGAGAAGGAAGGAACGAGTTAAAATTTACCTGGCAAAGAACCAAGAACAGAGAGAGGGGAAAAAAAAAACCCAATTCTAAGTGTGCTCAAAGGGATACTGTGGCATAATACTTAACACTAAAATAGCTGTTTTGAGAGTGCTTTACATGAAATTATCTTGGAGGAATTTTTACAAACCAGCATAAAAGACTGGGCAACCTTTTGATGGCCTGGGGAATATTTAACTTTCTGAAGGGAAGTAAAATATATCTCTCTACCAATCCCTCCCACCCACCCTCAAAATAAGGAAAGAGGGACCAGATTGTTTTTTCCTTTGCTTTCCAAAGTTGTGCTAAGCACGTTTAAAACTCAAGCTACAGTTTTTGTGTGTTTCTCACATCAAGACGCTTATTGGTAAATTTATGGTGTCTACTGATAATTTATTACACTTATTGGAAACTTATTCTGTTTGAATAGTAAATGATTTTTTAAAATCATTTGTGGTTACAGAAATTGAGTTTGGTAAGCCATTCAGAAGAGCTCTGTAGGAGACGAGCAGGCGGAGTTAAATATGTCATCAGTTTGGAATCATTGCTTAGTCACAAGAAACCCAAGTCCAGCCTCCTGTAAGTTCCCTTGACCTTTATCTAGCACTAATTTAGGATTCATAACAGGTGCAAAGAACCAGAAGCATTTGTTGAGTTCAAAGCACCAAAGAATGTATTACTGAAGATATGGTAAGGTGAAGTAAAGTAAGGTAAGGTGAGATGGGATGAGATGAGATAAGATGGTAGGATATGGTAGGGTAGGGTGAGGTGAGGTGATAGGATAGGTAGAGTAGGTAGGGTAAGGTAAGGCAAGATGACAAGATAAGACAAGACAGTACAGTAGAGTAGGGTAGGATAAGGTAGGGTGAGGAGATAAGATAAGACAGTAGAGTAGAGTAGGGTAAGATAGGGTAGGGTGAGGAGAGGAGAGGAGGGAAGGGAAGTGGAGAGGAGAGGAGAATGGAATAGAAAATGGAAGGGAAGGGAAGGGAAGGGAAGAGAAGAGAAGAGAAGAGAAGAGAGGAGAGGAGAGGAGAGGAGAGGAGAGGAGAGGAGAGGAGAGGAGAATGGAATAGAAAGTGGAAGGGAAGGGAAGGGAAGGGAAGAGAAGAGAAGAGAAGAGGATGGAATAGAATATGGAATGGAATGAAATGAAATGGAAAGGAAGGGAAGGGAAGGGAAGGGAAGGGAAGAGAAGAGAAGAGAAGAGAAGAGAATGGAATGGAATGGAATGGAATAGAATATGGAATGGAATAGAATGGAATGAAATGGAATGGAAAGGAAGGGAAGGGAATGGAAGGGAATGGAAGGGAAGAGAACCTTTCTTGTCATTTTTTACTGTGAGCACAGTAAAATATATATTCTATATATATATGTACCCATACCTATACATAACACACATATACACATTATATACATTCATACACACACACACACACATTCCCCTATACATTACAAATGTATATATGTGTGTGTGTGTGTACACACACACACACACACATACACACACACACACACACATACAGACATACATACATAGTTGTGCTTTTAAAGTTGTAGCAACGTTTCGGCAGAATCTCATCTTAAGTCTGACTCACAGACGAACACAATACAGAAGCCTGATGATGGCAGATGAGATTCTGCTGAAACGTTGCTACAACTTTAAAAGCACAAGTATAATGACATGGGAAAATACCCGAACAAAGCTGAATACTATACTTATAAATACCCGTGAAAACTTAAGAAAACACACACACACACACACATCTATATACCGTATATACTCGAGTATAAGTCGACCCGAATATAAGCCGAGGCACCTAATTTTACACAAAAAAACTGGGAAAACTTATTGACTCGAGTATAAGCCGAGGGTGGGAAATGCAGCAGCTACTGGTAAATTTCAAAAATAAAAATAATTAATTTGGGAAACGATCTCACTATCATGAAAGGTTTAATTGATTCACTAACCCAAAAGAAGAAGATGATGATGACAGCGGGAGGCAGGAGTCACTCTCTTCCCCTCCCTCGGAGGCCCCCTGAGTCAGGAGTCACTACCGCCGGCGCGGCCCCAGTCCCGCCGCCTCGGGAAGGGAAAGGCAAAGCGCTTTTTGCCTTTCCCTTCCCGGCTGGGGCTGTTGGGAGGCGCAGCCGCCGGAGGCCGCGACTCCACACCATTTTTTTTTCAGAGGGGAATCTGACTCGAGTATAAGCCGAGGGGGATTTTTTCAGCACAAAAAATGGGCTGAAAAACTAGGCTTATACTCGAGTATATACAGTATCTATATATCTATATATCTATATATCTATATCTATATCATCTATATCTATATCTATATCTATATCTATATCTATATCTATATCTAT